ATTATGTATATAAAAATGATATTATAAATACGCCTGGCAAAAAAATTAAAGTCTGTCCCAGCCAGTCCTAAGCCTGGAAAAGTATGAAGGGAAGCTCATTTCATCATTTAGTAAAGTCGATCGATAAAACGAATACTTTAGTAAACCATTTCATACATTTCAAATCGTTGATAGTAGTAAAAAACTGCAACCATTTCACTCGATGAAAATGCAATTCTATTCCATGTTCCATAAATTTCGTCATTTAAGCCGTCTTCAAACCAGTTGCAACGACGACCGTTTTCTGCAACCGTTTCGTCGTCGGGAAAACGGTTGCGTTTCTTCCGTCAAAAATTAGACAACGATCCACTAGTTATTTCATTACTGAGGCGTTGGTTATTGGTTACAAAGCATTCAGCCAAAAAGAATACATCAAACACTGCCATTTTATATTTAAATCATCTGAAAATGTTAACAAATTACATAATAATTTGTTGTGCCACACATAAAACAACACGGGCCGCTAACGTACCGGACTCTATGTTGCCACATAAAAAAACATTTGATATCGGCTTAAACCAGCAGATAGTCCATGATGATATATTCCCAAGGTTGTGCCTTAACTGTGCCTGTGCTGTGCAGACAAAATAATTTGAAATTCTTATTACCATCGGAGGACGAAGCTCTGGTTTTCTCTTTTTAAAACCACATGGTGTTCCACCTTCACTGCATATTGGCAGTGTCACGGGATCGGCCCTATCTGCACAGACGGCCTCATGGCAGCACCTCCTTGGGAGAGTAGAATTCTTCACCCTTTTCCTTCTCAGGCATGGCACATCACAACAAAAGGCATTCCTTCCTCTGCGACCTTCAATTTTACGTACTTACGCAGCGTTTTGCTTCGACTTTGTAGAGTTTGGAGATAGTCAGTGGACCACTTTCTCCAAAAGTCTTTGTACATTTTCTCCGTAAGTTGCCATTTTGGTGATACTTGCTGAAATTTATTACGGAAACAAGTGCCCTGATAAACACAGAAAAAAGCAACGGAGATAAAACACCGCCTTGAGGAACACCAGCAACAACGTTACACCAGTCGGAGAACTTATCATCAACACGAATGCGTTGCCGGCGTCCCCGAAGATAGGAACTGAACCATTGTACAACTTCAGGGATTTTAGAACTGCTAACAGAATGTCGTGGTCAACACAATTAAACGCGTTACTGAAGTCTAGGAGGACAAGAAGAGTAAGTTGACGATTATCCATCGCAAAGCGGATATCATCAGTTATTTTAATTAAGGCCGTGGAAGTACTGTGCAGTGGACGGAAACCAGACTGAAAAGGATTGAAGAGGTTGTTTTTGTTTAGAAATTTTGTGAGTTGGTAATGAACAACCTTTTCAAGAATTTTAGAGAAGAAGGAGAGGATAGATATTGGCCTATAATGGTTGAAATTAGTAGGAGAGTTGTTTTTGGGGATAGGAATTAGGAACGCTTCTTTCCACTTGGTAGGGAAGGTACTGGAGGCAAAGGAAAAATTTATTAGATGAGTGACATGGGAAACTATTTGGTCCAAAATCGGCAAAACCATATCGCGTCCAATACCATCTGGGCCAACAGCTTTGCTGAATATAACGGATACAATTTTTTTTACTTCATCATCAGTCACTGGTTCGAAACAGAAAGGAGTCCAACATGGTAAAAGGAAAGAAGTAATATCTTTAATGGTATCGCTTTTGACTGTTGAGTCCAATGTAACTGGCGAAGAGCAAAAGTGTTTATTCAGCGCTGATAAGTCAAGGGAGTGACTAACATTCTGATTCCTTTTACCAAAGCCCAGGCTGCGCAAGAACTTCCATATATTCTGGGTTGAGCAAGTCTGAATAGTATTGTGAATGTATCGGCGTTTGGCATTTCGTATCACCTGGTTGCAGCGATTCCGTGCCTTTTTAAATCTTTCCCAGTTCTCATCACTGGGCAAGCATTTATGTTTTCTTTTTAGGCGGTCTCTACGTGCCATAAGAGATCGAATATATGGCGTTAACCAGGGTGCTGGTGCCCGTTTCGTTTTTACTGGTCTTAAAGGCGCTACTTTGTCATAGGATGTCATTATATTGTTATTGAATAACTCCAGTTTATTGTCAATATGATTAGTGTTATAAAAGTCTGACCAATTAGCACTGCATATCTTATAATTTAATAGCTGGCGATTCAAACGGACAAGGTTACGCTGAAACACAATTTTGGGAGTTGACTTAGTTGATTTAAGAGCATATGATGCGAAAATAAGATCGTGATGTGAAAATCCAGGAGCCACAAGTTGGCCATGTAGAGATATACGATCAGGATTGGAAGTAAGGATCAAATCTAGTAAAGAGTGTGTATTATTGACGTGATAGGTGGATTCAAGATCAAGAGTTTTAATATTGCTTGATGCACATATGAGTTTAAGCTTGTTGGATCTAGCATCATTTCGAATAAGGCAGGTGTTAAAGTCACCCATGAAAATGGAATGAGAATAGTTTGGGAGATGCGTCTCAATCAGCTGTTCCAAATCATTGAAATAATTTACAGAAGGAGGTGCATAAAAAGCACCTAGTAAGAAAGGTGTCTTGCGTACCATTATTTCAATGAGGATGTATTCCATTGATTTAGAATAAATCTCAGGCGATCTGGAAACGATCCTGTATGGTATGTCTGATCGCAGGTATATGGCAACACCTCCGCCTCCCTTGTTAATCTGTCATCTGCCTTTTGCTGTGACGTATGTGGCTTGTTCTTAGGTATCACGTTATTTGAGATCGCGATTTCAACATTGCGGTAAATATCACGCAATGTTGTGTTTTGTTGGTGTGCATCCTTGTTGGAGTTGCATTTATTGTCGTCCTGTGAGAACAGACAATTGCGACAAATATGTTGTTGCGAAATTGACCTCATTTTGTCTTCCGGTGACATGTCTTAAAACGACTTGTAGTATAGGAAAATATGATTGTTTTTACACAACGGGCAATTTTTTCTGTGGTTGTATGATAAGTTCGAGGAAAATTACGCCTATTGGTGTTGTCAATAAAGTCCTTCTTAAATGGAGCTGTTGCCTCCTTGATGGTTGAATTGTTTGACTTGTTAAATGTTTCTCTCTTCTTTTGAACAGATTCAAGCGCAGTAAACTTGTTTTCCAAGAAGTTTATCAGCTCATCGAAGGAAGGTAACTCTCTCGGAGCCTTTCTGATCTCCACGTAGGCTGCATACGTGTCGGAGTCCAATTTGCCAGTGAGAATGTTTACCAGGATCGGATCCCAAGTCGTTGTGTCGATGCCCAGATTGTGAATAGGATGTGTGGTTTCGACACTTGTGTCATGTAGCTTCTTTAGCTCGTATGCATTCTGTGGTTGCAACGCCGGTTGTCCCATAAGGGTTTGTATATGTTTTGTAAACAAAAGTTGTCGGTTGTTGTACCTATGGGTTTGCCCTTGAGGTGCTGCATCTTTTGCGTTTTGTCAACATGACATTGTTGTGGATGGCTTCACAGTAGAGGTCTATGAATGTAGGCCACTGGGTATAATTACCAGAGAAGGAAAGAATCTCAATTGTAGGCACTTGATGGTGCTGTTGAGATACTTAATGGAGCTTACGATTAAAATCCCTTTTTTTGTTTTCGTACAAGGATTCGTAGGCAGAAAACTCTTCTTTGTAGCCCACATCACCGCCAGAAGTCAGGTTATCGATTTGCCAGTGGAGCTCGTCGACCAGTTTCCAGCGAGACTGCAGCGAATTCAGTTTGTCATAAATTTTCCACTTTTCTGTCGACTTTTTTGGTGTCGATGTTTTTAATCACCCTGGAGAGCACCCGGAAATTAGTGTGTTGTTGCCTAAAGAACTCATAATACCTTGATAGTACTCCAGTTTCCGCAGTTTTCACGTCGTAGTTCGTCAGCATGTCACGAATTGCTTCGTACCGCTTTTTGGTGATGGTGTAGGTATCATTGATGAAATAGTCATGATTCAATTCACTGTCTGATTTTTACAGAACGCCAAGATTTATCTTGAACACCTCCCATTGAGTATTCAGAGCATCTAACCTCTTCTGTATGTATGTCCCTGTCTTACGTGAATCAGAATCATTTTTGAAGTTAGTCTCATTTCTAAGGATAGCTTCAATGATTGGTTATCTTGTTGTATTGGATCTGTTGTTAAAGTAGGTTCTCCATGGTTTGAAAACGATGTTGTAAACAGTTGGTTTCTGAAACGTGTGACTGCAACTCTTACAGTAGTATGCACTTCAATCAAGCTGGTGAGACCCGCTTGTGGAAGGCCAGCGACCAAGTGCTACTACAGATCGAGAGAATTACACTTATTTTTTTTATACTGTCTGTTGAACTACTGTGGACGTAATTTGTAGGTTATAGTTCACGTCGAAAGCTCGAAGGACCAAAATGTAGAGGGAGGTTTGTGAGTTGTGAGTTGATGTGTAGGATGTCAATGTAGGTTGTATCTACGTTACGGGATGTGGTAATTAAAACTGTGTCCGATTCCGTAGAGAGCGTTTATTGTACTAAAAATACTTATGAATAAAATGTAATTGCAATGAACGTGTCGCACAAATGTCGTACAATTCAATCCATGTGTGATTAAAATTTATTGTTTAACGGAATGTGCTTTTTATATTAAACTCATTCAACTACGATTTCCCCTAAAAGCCCTGCTTACTTCAATGATTATCACTTATTTTTCTACCTTTACACGTCTGACTAGGCTGTATGGGTATGGACACATATCCATTTGAAAATTTGACAGCCGACATCTGTCTGAATAATTCATGTTTACTCGTTTACTCCTACATTTATTTTGATTTATTTAGCATTATTTAGTAAATAAATAAACTTCATAGATTAATGTATATATAGAAATTACTTAATTTAATATTAAAACAAAGAATTTAAAAATCACTTCGTTTAATTAACACATTGTGAATAAAAAACTTTAATTACATTTTAAAAACACAAATCTTTATTCAGTGACTAAGATGAAATTGGAGGAGGCGGTCGTGGTTCGTGATTGGGAGAGTAAAGAGGTGGCAGGTGTAGATGTAGTTGGTGCAGATGATAGGCGACAACGGCTTAGCGTAATTGCAGCTTCGAGTAACACCAAAATAGGTGACGAGGGGATATTGTTGCTCAGTGAGGCTGGTGCGCCGCTTAGATCCTGGCCGCTACATACTTTACGCCTGCTCGCCGACTTGCCGGTCCGTACAGTTTTTTGTACATATAAAATATTTAATAATTTATTAGGACAAACATCTCAATGATTATCAACACAAGATAAAGTTTTAGCTTTATTTATATGGGGAAAAGCCAAAATAATAAGAGCAATATTTTTAAAAGCTTACAAGAGAGGAATTTAATGTTTAGTATTTTTGAATAATAATTATAAAATAAAGTCATTGATGATTTTTACAGAAAGTTTCAATAATAGTTACGATTTTTGAAATTCTTAGTTAAGAAGAATTAAATTTAATATTTGTGATAATAAATGTTACTTGATACAAGTGCATTTTTGTAACTACTATGGAAAGGGTTAGTTTTAATAGATAATGCATTATGCACCATCCATTAAAAAGGAAATCCGAACAAAATTATTCAATTCTAGGCATGATAATAAATAATAAGAAAAAAATTAAAGTCAAAATATAGAAAGATTTATTACATTTTGTAAGATTAAATGCTGATCTTAACTTTCTTCTCAAATGTAGTTCAAACTTTGGGAAGTCCTCATATGTAAGGACTTACATAAGGCTCAATTTGCAAGCAAACAGTTTATTTGATGTGCTTCATTTGTTTTTCATGCAGACTAAATCCTTCGAGCAAGATCTCTGTTATGTTCTTGTGTAAAATATTTTGTATGTCCCATAGTAAAAAAATGTAGGAGAAAAATATGTGTGAAAATGAATTTGGGTAACAAATTAATTTGTCACAAAAGTATTCTGATGTTAATGGGACCTGGTACAATTGAGCAGAACAATTTGCAGATTACAAATATCACTCGAACGTTTTGTATGTTCCTTGTCAAAACATAATAAATATGCATGTTGCAGCAGTATAGTCTTACTATTGCTACTATTCAATTAGACTGCTAGCTCTTTCATTTTTTTTTACAAAAACATGACTCCCTCAACTAGGATTTACTCTTGTTTTGTGGAGGTATTTTACATATGTAAATTGCACATGGGCAATCATTCAGCCCCGGAACAGCCCATACAAATAATTGTTTCATGTGGGATTTGAATCCGCGGCCCTAGGCACTGCTCAATGTTTGCCCATTGTATGTATATATACAACTCACAGGACAGTGAAATGGATAATAAAAGAATAGTTTATTGACAATTTACCGGCAGGACGGGACGCTGAGTGTGGAGGCGGGCGGGGAGACACTTACGTGGCGGTGCGTTGAGGAGGCGGCGCGGCGGGCCGTGTCGCGCGCGCTGGGCGGGGTGGGCGGCGGGGCGGTTGCCGGGGCGGGTGGGGAGCTGGGTGGGGCAGCGCTGGGCGCGCTGCTGGATGACGCAGCGGCCGACGAGCCAGACGCGGAGCAGTGGGTGCGGCGTCTGGCCGAGCGATTGGCGCGCCTCGACGCGCTCAACGTGGCCGGTATGCTGGCGGCGGCCACCGAGGGTGGTGGCCAGCGCCTCGCCGAACGACTCGAGGTTGTCTGCTCCGCTGTTGCACTCTTTCTTAGCACTACTGTTTATTTGAACATTTGATTGCCTCGTTGGTGTAGTGATTGTAAATGCGACTGCTGAGCTTGTTGCTTTTTCTGCCAAAAGAGCGGCCTCACTTATAAGAGAGGTGAAATATTTGACAGATTTCATAGTGGGGGTACTTAGTTAATTTTTGTTAGAAAAGTGTAAAGATTAATGTTTTTCTCTGAAATATTAGTTATACTTTTTATAAAATAGATTATAAATTAATAAACAAAACTATGAATATTCCTAAAAGTAGCAGGATTAATAAAAAGTTGAAAATATAAATAAATAAAAGAATACAGTACCTACTAAGGTATTGTTTTGTGTATGTACATTATGCAATGTGCATACACTTCTATTTGATTCCTGTGTATTAGAAAGCACGTAAAAAAACCCATGTTTCTGCGTTTGATCTTTTAATGTTTGTGTTGGATTCCCCGTACATCGGCCTATGATAAACTTTCCCAATCCAATACTTGATAAATCTTGAAAAACTTTATTACTAGACCAAAACAATTAGGCGCGTCACCGCTAAGACGTTATTAAAACTAGGGAGAAGAATACCAAATCAGAACACTGATTAATACATGAATATAGTAATTTGTACTTAGTACATAATAGTGACTTATAAAATTTTATTATTTTATTTGACTTATTTGGACTATGAGAACGAGGTGCACCTATGTTTGCACATTCACACGTGCATTATAAGACAGGGTGTCTTGCGTAGTTAGGTAGTCTCCATTTGGATTGACCATTACCGAAATTAGGTGTGGAGGGTATTATATTTCTATTAAATTTAGTTATGATTGTTGACTTCTAGTCCTCAGGGGTGACAACGCATCTGCATTTTGATTCTCAATTGAGGATAGATATAGATGTCTAAGGGCCACAGCATCCACTCACCATCAGTTTAACAGTGTGTTCGTATGTTAGGCGGGTGGTGCGGCGGGCGCGGCGCTGACGGGGCGGCTGGCGCGCTACGAGGCGTGCGTGCGGGGCGGCGGGGCGGCGGGCGGGGCGGGCGGCGGCGCGGGCGGCGGGGCGGCGGGCGTGCCGGCGCGCGGGGAGGCGGCGCGCGCCGGCGCGTCCGCGCGCGCTCTGCTGCAGCACCTGCAACAACTCTACCGCTGGCTCGACGCGCCGCAGCTGCAGCATCTCGACTCACTCTCCGAGGTGCGTCCCCTTTTCACGTGAATATGTGTTTAAATTTGCTTCCATAGTGGGAGGCAATTCAGAAAACTGATGATAACAAAATCTGGGAATACAGTTTGATGTTGCAATTACATATCTACATCCTAAATATAATCTGTGCTCCCCCAGTCGGTCCATTCGGATGAGCTTATGCCACATTATTTATATGTATAAAAATTATACAACTAAAATTCTAAAAATTTTATTAAAATTAGTCCCGTTACTAAATTACAAGAATTAACATTATACACGAAATAAATTAAGAGAATTTACTTCAAATGACATACCACTATTATGCTATTTTACTATTAAATCTACGTTGGCTTCGCAGGTCGATGTACTACTTGATACACCGTGTAGATGGCGCTGTTACAGAATTATTTAATTTATGAGATTTGTTTTACCAGATTTCTGCCATAAAGTTGCGGCAAGTCGAAAACATTTACGAACTTGAAGCTGAGGTGAAAAATATAAGATGGCATATTGTAAGGTTAAGTGAAGTCCGAAGAGATGGGGAGGACACACTTACCCTGCAATCGGACCATATGCTCTACTTTCGAAAGCGAGACGGCCTGTCCCAAGGCGAAGTAGATTTCCTCGTTCACAGGATCTTCACTAACAATACTGTAAAAATCTCCAGTCTGTCGACACGGGTAGCATACCGTACAAGCTTATGCACTGAACTCAGCACATTCTGATGATGAAATTGAAACTGTTTATGAAGACAAATCTATGGTTTTACATAACACCACTAAGGCCCACTACAATGTTGTTATGGGGGATGCCTAGGTGGGTAAGCACACGGGCGTCGAGTCGAATTTGGGTCCCCACGGTTTTGGAAGCAGAAATCACAGGGGGTAAATGCTGGTTAACTTTCTGGAGAAAGGGCTATTTCTAATAAATTAATTTTTCGAGAAAAAGCCCCAAAGGAAGTGGACCTGGCGTAGTCCCGATAACATTATAAAAACGAGATTTTTTTTTTCATAGGATAGGGTGACAAACGAGCACACAGTCCACCTGATGGTAAGTGGTTACTGTGACCCATATACATCTACATCTATCCTCAATACAGACTCAAAATGCAGATGCGTCGTCACCCGTGAGGACTAAGATGGAATGCCTCTTTTCCAGTAAAATGGGTCTCCGGTTCTCTAAACTCACCATACGAAACACAGCAGGGTTAAGCTGCTATTTGACGCTGGTATTCTGTGAGAGCGTAGTCCTTTCCCGGTCGAGCCGACCCATTCGTGCTACATCATCATTGATCATCATTACAGCCTTTCATAAGTCCACTGCTGAACATAGGCCTCCTCCAAGGAATGCCACAAAGCACGGTCCTGAGCCACCTGCACCCATCGACTTCCTGCATGTCGTCACTCCATCTCGTGGGGGATCGCCCTACACTTCGCCTACCGGTACGAGGCTGCCACTCAAGAACCTTTCTTCCCCATCGGTTTTCGGTTCTTCGAGCTATATGGCTGGCCCACTGCCACTTCAGCTTACTAATCCGTTGGGCTATGTCGGTCACTCTGGTTCTACTGCGGATATCCTCATTTCTAAGTTTATCACGCAGAGAAACTCCGAGCATAGTCCTCTCCATAGCTCGCTGAGCGACCTTGAGCTTCCTCATACGGCCAGCAGTGAAGGACCACGTCTCACATCCGTAAGTCATCACTGGCAACACGCACTGGTTGTACAATTTCGTTTTAAGGTTTTGAGGTATGTCTGACGAGAAGATGTATCGTAGTTTCCCGAACGCTGCCCAGCCGAGTTGAATCCGTCGATTGACCTCTCGGTCGAAGTTGGACTTACCTAGTCGGACTATTTGTCCTAAGTACACATATTCCTCAACAACTTTGAGCTCCCAACAACTACCGGCATAGGTGTGACATGGACATTGAACATGATCTTTGTTTAGTCCATGTTCATCTTAAGACCTATCCGTTGGGAGACACTATTGAGGTTATTGAGCATGGTGCTTAAATCGTCCAGCGATTCTGCCATAAGGACTATATCGTCGGCATATCGAAGGTGAGTGATGTACTCGCCATTGATGTTAATACCGTATCCTTCCAGTCCAGAAGCTTGAAAACGTCTTCCAACGCAGCGGTGAAGAGTTTCGGGGATATAAGGTCACCCTGTCTTACACCTCTCTGCAATTGGATAGGTTTCGTACTCTGGTTATATACTCGGATAGTCATCGTAGCCCTACTGCACAAGCACTTCAGCACTTCGATATACCGACAGTCAACTTGACACCGCTGAAGGGACTGCAGCACCGCCCAAATTTCGCCGGAATCAAAGGCTTTCTCATAGTCCACATACGCCAGGCATATTGGCAAATTGTACTCCTCGGACTTCTGTACAACTTGCCGAAGGGTATTATGTGGTCTATGGTGCTAAAGCCCTTTCGGAAACCGGCTTGTTCGGGAGGCTGGAAGTCGTCAAGTCTGCGCGCGAGACGATTCGTAATGATTCTCGAAAACAGCACGTAGACGCGGCTCAGAAGGGAAATCGGTCTGTAGTTCTTCAAGAGAGCGTTGTCACCTTTCTTGAAGAACAAGACCACCGCACTTCTGCTCCACGCCTCCGGTGTAATGCCACCATTGAGGACGGAATTAAAGAGCCTCTGAAGGACTTCAAGTACCGATTTTCCACCCGCTTTCAGAAGCTCCGCTGTAATTCCATCCTCGCCTGGGGCCTTGCCGTTTTTAAGATGCTGGAGAGCCATTCTAATCTCGCTCAGACTGACGTCCGGGATATCTTCGGAATAGTGTCGGATAAGACTCGCTCTTGGATCCTTACTCACACTTGCGTGCGGCTCCAACGATGACGTGTACAGCTGCCCATAGAACCTCTCAATTTCACTCAAAATCTCAGATACCCCGGAAACGATGCTGTCACATTCGGTCCTTAGCTTTGACAGTTGGCTCTTTCTGGCAGACAGATCTCTGGCAAAGACTTTGGAGCCTTGGTTTCGCTCGATCGCTTCGCCGCAGGTTGATGATGATGATGAGGTTCCATAATTTAGTTGACAGAGCCTTATTTTGAGAATCAAAAAAAATGTTGTCCTTGGCCTTAGAGACACAGGTCTGAAAGAGTTGATCTGATACAATGTCGGAATCTGAGAGGTTAATTACACCACTCGATACTTAAGGATCAAAGAATTCACTAAGTTGATTGAGGACAGTGAGGCATCGCGCACGGCGGAGGGAGAGCGCTGTCATTTAGAATTTGTTTCGTTACGTACACGTATTTACATAAAACACAAAGCTGACGACACAGCCACACCAAGACTTTTTTTATAAAGGGGGGGGGGGTAAATGAGCATGCGGCTCGTCAGTTAGTAACTGTTCACCACTGCCCATGAACAATTGAAACACCAGGGAAATTGTAGCTGCGTTGCCGGCCTTTTAAAAAGGAGTTAGTTTATTTCTTGAAGGTCCCTAAGCCGTATTGGTCCGATAAAGGCAGATGTTGTAGAACGTACCGTGAGTTCGTCACGATGTGCGTTAGTGGATTTTGGCGGCTGGAACTTCCCCGACACACTTTACGCTCTTTAATTCAGACTTATTGGATCAGTTAATCGTCAAATTACTTATTCATGTAACAAATTAAACCTCTATATGGAGTGACGCTTGGGTAAGCCGATAGATGTACGTGTCTCAAGAATATGTTTTGTGTCACTTCTTGGGGGATACCTATGGGCAGTAGTGAATTTGAGATGGGCTGTAATGATGACGAATGATGAGTATGTGAGATGCGTCGCAGATTTCGCTGGCGACGGCAGAGGGGCGCGCAAGTGCGCTGGAGGCAGCGGAAGCGCTGCGCGCGGCGCTGCGGGGCGGCGCGGAGGGCGGGGCGGGCGGCGGGGCGGGCGGCGGGGCGGGCGGCGGGGCGGGCGGCGCGGCGCTGCGGCTGGGCGCGGTGCGCGAGCGGCTGCGGCGGCTGGGGCGCGCGCGCGACGCGCTGGCGGCGGCGCTGGCGCGGCACCTCAACAACGCGCTCATCCACCTGGGCAACCTGGGCAGCGCGGCGCACGAGCCCGGCCCGCCCGACCTCCGCGACCAGCGCCGCCACCACGCGCACCTGCTGCCCTACGCGCCCTTCATGCGCTGGCTCAAGGACATGGACGACAAGGCCTACGACGGACTCGTTAAGGTGGGTCAGCCTTTTATATTACACACCGTCTATCTGTTATCGCAGCTACAAAACTAATTATTGTGTGCAGTCGGGAAGAATCCCCCGATGTCTTCACCGAACACTTGATAAATTAACTCATAATATTGTTACGACGGCCAGTTGCGTATTGCATCACTTTTCACAAAAATGTTCCCGACGATAAGGGTCTATAACGTACTTGGCCTAAAATGTGTAACCATAATAATATATAGCGCTCAAACTATTACCTGCAAGACAAAATGCCTACATTTATAAAGCCTTTTCTCTGTAATCGCCGGTATTCTTAGTCCCTTCCGGTTAAAAGAGTAGAATAACCTGGATTAACCTAAAAAGTTCTATATTTTATTTTATCTATATATTTTTTACGTGGAGCCATGCTGCAGCTATATTGTGGTTGCAGCTCAAATAGGTCAGCTCGACTGGGGTAGGACCATGCTCTCACACACTACCAACGTAAAATAGCAGCTCGTATGATGAGTGTAAAGAAAAGGAAACCCTTTTTACTGGAAAGGCATTCCATCTCAGTCCTCAGGAGTGACAATGCATCTACACGTTGATTCTCAACTGAAGATAAATGTAAATGTCTATTAGCACACCATCAGATGGACTGTGTGCCAGTTTGTCACCATTATTCTGTGTACCGGCTATCGGACACTTAATTATTACGGGAACGCGAAAGTAAACTACTTCCGAAAGCGACTACAATCAATGACCTACGACATCTACGATTGTTAAGCAGCCCACTGAAAAAGCTTAGCTACTTTGGGTGACGTAATTGTATACCGTGTGTGTGTGAAAGTATACATCCATTTCTTATCCTAATCGACAATCGCACGTAACAATATTGCAATTTTTTGTACTGCCAGCGAATCAAATTATGACTTCTCGCATGCCATAAAATTTGGATACAAGCGCACAATACTTGAGCTAATTAATTCACTGACCTCTATATGTGGACTGGCTATACACCGTGACATAATGAGGCGATTTGATTTTCGCCATTTTGGCGCTGACAGCAGAAGTGAACGTCCACGGAACTAATAATAGAGATAAGAAAGTGTGACAAGATATATCGATAAGAATTTTATACCCAGGCCCACGCGTAACGTGCATTCTATTTATGTATCATATTAATATAATGCCATAAAATAAATAAATGTATTAATTAATACCTAGACCTGAGACGCAAGCTTTACACCTCATATAAAACCAAGATCGACGCTGCGTTGATCTATCTACGTTTTTATTCGTAACTACAGAACGGATTTTGTTCCGGGTTTCAAATGAGAAAATGCCTACGCACACCTGCATTGCGGGGACAAGAACAGATATGTCGGATTTGCACCTGCTAAAACTCCATGATGTTCCACCTTTACCACACATTGACAGGGCCACGGAAACGCTTTCAAGCACATCCGTGGCCTCACCAGCGAGGACCCCTCCTTAGTTGAGGACTACCTTCCCCGACTTCCCGGGCCCTATATGTAGAGGCCATGGAGCCAAGAAAAAACGAGCATAATAAATTGTTTCGACGTAATAAATTGTTTCGACTCGTGATAGCTCGTCGGCTACTGGATTTTCGGGACCTTTTATATGTTTTATGTCCGTTGAAAATTCGCTGATATATGCTAGTTGACGTAACGCCTAGGTAGTTCTTTACCGTTGTTGCTTTTCGAAAATGCAAAGGTTAGAGGCTTGTGATCGGTAAAAATCACTAGTTTTCTGCCTTCAACAAGGTTCTGAAAGTATCTTATAGCTAAGTAAATTGCCAATAATTACCTATCGTAAGCCGAATATTTTGGTCGGTATTATTCATTGCCCTTGAAAAATAGCCAATAGGTAACCATTTATTATTAACACATTGTTGCAACACTGTGCAGGAATTTAACGCGTCAATCATGAGTACGTTGATTGTTACCCAAAAGTCATTGAAACGTTTAAAAACCTGATCTAAGTGGACAGACAAGACAGCTTTTGTCCACCCGATCCCTAAAAAAGGCGACCGCTCAGACCCATCCAACTATAGGCCTATCGCGATCACCTCCTTGTTCTCCAAAATAATGGAATCCATTATTAACTGCCAGCTCATCCGGTACCTTGAGGATCACCAGCTGATTAGTGACCGCCAATACGGTTTTCGTCGGGGTCGATCAGCTGGTGATCTTCTGGTCTACCTGACCCATAGATGGGCGGAGGCAGTAGAGTCCAAGGGGGAGGCGTTGGCCGTTAGTCTGGACATTGCGAAGGCCTTCGATCGGGTTTGGCACAAAGCGCTTCTTTCGAAGCTCCCTTCCTATGGGCTTCCCGAGAAATTGTGCAATTGGATCACCAGCTTCCTTGCAGATCGGAGCATCAAGGTCGTTGTAGACGGTGCATGCTCTGACTACAAGCCTATTAACGCTGGTGTTCCACAAGGCTGTGTGCTATCACCAACGCTGTTTCTTCTGCATATCAATGATATGTTGCTAACTGGTAACATTCATTGCTATGCGGATGACAGCACTGGTGATGCTCTATACACCGGCCGTGCCAATATTTCTCGGGAAAACGTCGCTGAGTACCGGAACAAACTTGTGTCTGAAGTCGAGTCTTTGCTGAGCAAAGTCTCGGATTGGGGGCGACTAAATCTAGTCCAGTTTAATCCTCAGAAGACACAAGTTTGCGCGTTTACCGCTAAAAAGAACCCCTTTGTCGTATTTCCTCAGTTTCAAGGCACTCCCCTTCTTGCCTCAGCCAGTATCGGTATCCTCGGAGTCGACATATCAAGTGACGTGCAGTTTCGTGGTCACTTGGAAGGGAAGGCCAAATTGGCCTCTAAAAAGCTTGGCGTGATCAGCAGAGCGGGACAGTATTTCATGCCGGCACACCGCCTGCAACTTTACAAGGCGCAAGTTCGGCCTCACATGGAATACTGTTCCCATCTCTGGGCAGGGGCTCCCCAGTGCCAGCTCCTTCCACTTGACCGCATCCAACGCAGAGCTGCGCGAATCGTCGACGACCGAGCCCTTTCCGGTCGGCTCGATTCATTGGCACTGCGAAGAGATGTTGCATCCCTTTGCATTTTCTTTCGCGTCTACCATGGGGAGTGCTCTGAGGAATTGTTCGGATTAATCCCAGCCGCCAAATTTCACGAACGCACATCGCGGCAGAACTCCCGATACCATCCACACCATCTGGATGATTGACGATCCACCACTGTGCGATTTAGAAGATGTTTTCTTCCTCGCACGACCTCCTTGTGGAATCGATTACCATCAGCGATTTTTCCGGACCGATACGACTTAGGGACCTTCAAGAAAAGAGCGTACTCCTTTTTAAAAGGCCGGCAACGCATCTGCGATTCCCCTGGTGTTGCAGTTGTTCATGGGCGGCGGTAGTCACCATCAGGTGAGCCGCATGCTCGTTTGCCCCCTCTCCTATAAAAAAAAGTGGATTTCGTGCTCATCCATCGTAGAACTAGCAATAATTACGTCATCAATATAACAAAAAACATTGTCTAAGCCTTTTAAAACTGTTTGGTCCATAAATCTTTGGAAAGTTTGTGCTGCGTTGCAAAGTCCAAAGGTCATGCGGGGAAATTCGAATAAACCAAATGACATAATTATTGCTGTTTTTGAATATCCGCCGGCTTAATTACTATACAAAGGTATTTACATCAAAACGTGAAAATATCTTTTTATTAGCTAGTAGGTAGGTAAAATCATGAATTATAGTTATCGGATATCGATCCGGTTTAGTAATTGCATTTAACTTACGATCTCCGCAGGGTCGCAAATCGTAGTTCTTCTTTGGCACCATATGTAGTGGGCTAGCCCAAGCACCGTTGGAAGGCCTGCATATTCCCATTTCTTGCATTATCCTAAATTCTTCTTTTACCTTTTTATACTTATCGGGTGGTAATGGGCGTCACTTAGCATGCACAGGGGGACCCGCCCTCTCTATGTGGTGTTATACTGAATGACGAGGAGTTTCCTTGAAAGAGACAGGTATTGTAATGTTAGGATACTTATGTAATAATTCTGTGAGTTCATGGTTGCTGTCGACAGTTTTAATAGAGTGAAGGTTGCAGCTAATTATTGAGGCTATAACGTTTAAATTGCTTTTTTTTGTCAATTAACCTACGAGATCTTATATCTACCAAAAGACCATGGTGACTCAAAAAATCTGCCCCTAATATTAGTTGTCGTACGTTAGCGACTACAAAAGACTTAGTGAAGAAAGTTTTAGTGCCATACAACAGTGGTAGAGCTACGCGGCAGCTTTTGCTGTCGCACGGATGGGCCGGCTCGAACCGGGGTGGTATCACGACCTCACAGAAAACCAGCGTGAAGTAGAGGTTTACCTCTGCGTTTCGCTTGGTGAGTGCAGGTGGCCGGAGGCTCTTTTTACTGGAAAAGAGGCATTCCATCTTGGTCCTCGCGGGTGACAACGCATCTACATTTTGATTTGTAGTGGGGGATAGATGTAGATGTTTATGGGCCGCAGCGGCCACTTACCGTCAGGTGGACTGTGTGCTCGTTTGTCGCTCTTACCCTATAAAAAAATACGTTTCAATAATTGTACTATTAGCTGCGTATAATTTATAATCGTTACATTTTGTATACGTGCGCAATTTATTACTAATTGGAATGACTGAAACATTAGCGCCTGTATCTACTAAATACCTCCACTTGTTTTGTCTTCTACGCATAGGCGGTGTGAAGGTGTCACAGGCGCGGCGTACCCGCTATCGCCTGCACTGCTTCTAATTTTCCGATTTCGCTTGTATCTTTTTCCACGCACATGGTTGTACGCAGTTGGTAGCTCGATGCCCATACTTATAGTCTATAAAATATGTCTAATCCGACCGAAAATGTCAATAGCCTCCGTGGCGGAACTCGGTATATGCAAGCTCCTCACAAGAACCAACACCAAACTATTTTCTGAACGAAATGAAGGAAACCGTCACTAAGGAAAATACAAGCCAATTTAGGAGAGCAGATTATTAAAAAAAAATTGTAAATTACTTGCTGAGCAACTTTTAGCGCTAAAAAATGAATTTTTAGAAAAAATCAATATGGTGAAGAGTAAAATCCAACAATTAGAAGTAACGCTTGTGACAAAAGCAGACACTTATAAAGATGCAATAACAAAGAATTTGACTTTAAATACTACAAAAATAAAAGCTGGTACTAAAACTAAAACTTAGTCCCAGACGAAAGCCAAGCCTGTCGTACAAAATGAAAAACCAAGTACCTCGCTCGTAGCTTCAGTACCTGATGCTGATAGAACTATCCAGAAGTCCCGCTCTACATCTACACCTGCAGCTAGCGATCCTAACTCTGATAACCTCGATAAAGGCGGATGGGTGAAGGTGAGACCCAGGCGGTCACATGCTTCGCTTCCTGGCGTACTTAGAGGTACCGCAGCGCCTGGATCGACACCACTTCAGGCTGCCGCTAGGTGGAAATACCTGCATCTGTACTATGTTCAAGAAGATACCCCTGTGGAGCAAGTGCGGAATCACCTCTCACCGCTGAGAAACTGGAGTCTCGTGGGTACTATGCTTCCTTTAAGCTCGGAGTTCCTCTTGAAAGTACTGAAACTGTTATGTCGTCTGTCAACTCGGCCGAAGGCATATGTATTAAGCCTTGGCGTCCAAAAGTTTCTTGCCAAAATCAACAGCTAACAAGCGCCGTCTTAGAGTGCGAGTTAAGGATTTTTTATAAGAATGTTCGAGGCCTAAGATCAAAAACAAGTACATTTATGTACAATGTTACACATAGTGAATATGACATCATAGCTTTGACTGAGATCTTTTTAACTAGTTCAGTATTTGATAACCAACTCTTCGCTCCTGGTTACAGGGTAATACGTAAAGACAGAGAGAACGATACTGGGTGGGGGGAGGGGAGGGTGTACTGCTTGCTGTTCGAGACTGTTATCCTGTTCGGGCTGTTTCTGGACATTGTTCGTATGAGAATAGAATAGAATAGAATAATTTTTTATTCAATATAGATTACATGGGTAATTCTTATTGAAAGTCATTTTTTACTTTACCACTGGTTCGAATAAAACCCTCTGTCCTGGGAAGAACCAGCAAGAAACCCAGCGGGACTTTTTTTAAATAAATTTTACAATATAAATGATTACAAATTATTTACAAAATTTATTTTAGAATCAGCTTGGAAGCGACCACCTCATTCCCAGGGGTTATTATGAAACATGTATTCATTTCTATTATAATAACCCTTGTATATTTTCTAGAACTTTGTTGTAATAGCGTATACATTGCCCCAAGAATGAATTACTGACTCTGTGGAGTCGAGAAACTGGTATAACTAGCTTGTGTTTGTTCGTAGTGTTTACAGAATGTGTATCACTTTTTTTACTAAAACTACCTTTATTTTGTGAACATACATTAAATTTTCGTAAATATACTGAGAGGCCAAAGTTAATATATTTAATTCTTTAAATTTATCTCTGTAAATAGCTCTAATGGCCCACTTCTGTAAAACAAAAATAGTCTCTGAATCAGATGCATTTCCCCATAGCAAAATCCCATAGTGTTCATTAGGGAACATGAATAAAATAGACGACGCACACGATAGGCAAAATTGTATATTTAAATGATAAAAATACAAAATTATTTGGTGGCGATCGTGTCGCGAGCTATCGGCGAGTGCCGGTCTTAGGCGCGGTGGTGAGAAACCACCCTGCACTTCACATACTCCCCGCGAATACCATCGGTGCTGTCGTAACGGAGCCGACACATAGGACATTATGCTATGGAAATAACTGAAGTAAACTAATCTAGCAGTCTCGACACTAGTGAGACCTCTAATCTTTTTTACAGCATAGGCTGCAGAACTTAGTCTGCTTGCTAATTTGGATATATGGGGGCCCACTGAAGCTTTGCGTCGAGAGTGGTGCCAAGAAAAACAGTGGGTACAACAGGGCTCAGTCCCATTTTTTAAAGGCCGGCAACGCATCTGTAATTCCCCTGGTTTCCCTGGTGTTGCAGTTGTTCATGGGCGGCGGTAGTCACTTACCATCAGGTAGGGCCGCATGCTCGTTTGTCCCCTCTCCTATAAAAAAATAATTATAAAGACATTGGTATTCAGATTTTTAACATTCGTTGTTGGAAATTTAACACAATTAGTTTTATCTCCGTTTAAATGTAGATTATTAACGTTAAACCAATGCACTAATTTTGATATAGCATTATTCACTTCGTCACATTTAAATGATTGACGTTTAAGTTTAAAAATCAAGGAAGTATCATCAGCAAATAATACTATATAATGAATATCCTCTACATGGGAAGGTAAGTCATTAGTATACACTAGAAACAGGAATGGGCCGAGAATCGATCCCTGAGGGTCACCCATTAGTACTGGTGACCCGGAAGAACTTTTACCATTGATAATAACTTTCTGCATTCTATTACTTAAATATGAAATAATAAGTTTAAGGTTTAAGCGCTGTGTTCTTGACACCATATTACTGTAGCTTCCTGATTAATGTCTCATGGTGAACACAGTCGAAGGCCTTGGAAAGGTCACAAAATATACCCAAAGCATCCTCTGAATTCTCCCATGCACAAAAAATAAGTTTAATAAGCTCAACTTCAGCGTCAGTTGTCGAGCGACCCCTTGTAAAACCGAATTGATTTTTATGTAGCAATTTATTAATATTAAAGAAAATTAACATTTGACCTATTTTAATTATTTCAAAATTTTTTACTAAATGTTGGTAGTACAGAAATTGGTCTGAAATTGGCGGGGTGTAATGTACTACTAGATTTAAATAAAGGTATAATTTTACTATGTTTCATTAAATCAGGAACCACACCAGATTCGACGCTTGTATGTGTATGTGTGACTAATGACAAAGAATTAATATTTGTAATTATTAATTTTTAAAATATCAAAATATTATGTTGTCTTGGATACTTACCTCCGAACTATAATGATGATCAATATTTAAATGTTTTGGCCTGTATAGAAGATGTTATTTTTACCTACTTTGACATGAAAGTACTAATTTAGGTGATTTCAATTTGAATTGTTGTAGCGTTAATATAAATACCCAATTGGATTTTTTTTTGTATTTTTTGTTGTTTGTTAAATGACAAAGTAAATAATGCTATATCTAAATTAGTATATTGGTTCATTGTCAATAATTTGCATTTAAATGGCACTAAAACGAAATGTATGAAATTCATGACTCCAAATGTCAAACAATTAAATACTAATGTAATTTTAAATAGGGAGAAACTGATTCTTGTAGATAGCACCATTTTTCTTGGAATCACACTAGACGCGAAGCTTCAATCGAGCCCCCATATAACAAAACTAGCAAGCAGACTTAGTTCTGCGGCATATGCTGTAAAAAAGGTTAAAAGTCTAACCAGTGTTGAAACAGCTAGACTAGTTTACTTTAGCTATTTCCATAGCATATTGTCGTATGGTATTTTGCTGACACGCAGATGACACTGAAATTATATTTGTTGTACAGAAGAGGGCCATAAAAGCAATTTATGATTTAATGCCTAAAGAGTCGCTGCGACAAAAATTTAAGGAAATTAATATATTAAATTTGGCCTCTCAATGCATTTATGAAAATGTAATGTACGTACACAAAAATAAAAGTAGTTTTACAAAAATAAGTGATATTCATTCTGTAAATACTAGGAACAGACACAAGCTAGTAGTACCAGTTACTCGACTCCATCGAGTCAGTAATTCATTCTTTGGGTGATGTATACGCTTTTACAACAAAATTCCAGAAAATATACAAAATTTGACCTGCTCAAAGTTCAAAAACTATTAAAGTAAGTTTGTATAAAAAGGGTTATTATAATATTAAAGAATTTATGGATGATAGATAATAAACCCTGGGAATGAGGTGATTGCTATCAAGCTATTTCTAATTTGTTTTGTGTGGTTAATTGTGATTACATGATTGTAAGCTGTTACTAAAATAAGTCCCGCTAGGTTTCTTGCTGGTTCTTCCCAGAATAGAGGTTTTTTCGAACCAATAAGTACTTTCAATTATTATAGCAACCGCTTAGCCCCTGAGCTACCACGGCTCAAAACAGTACCTGTCGTAAATAAAAGTACAACTGCGTGGCATTATGCGTGGCAAGTCTTTGAAGGTAGTGGTATAATATATGGGAAGTGCGGTGTGTGAGATGATTTGGGTGCGTGCAGGTGTACGTGGGCACGTGGGCGCGCGTGCACGAGCGCACCGTGCGCGCGGCCTGCGAGAGCGCGCGCACCGCGCTGGCCACCGCGCCGCCCGAGCGCGCCGACCAGCTGCTAGACGAGGTACCGTGCATCACACGCCACGCGTCATACTACACGCACCACGCTACACGCACCACGCTACACGCACCACGCTACACGCACCACGCCACACGCACCACGCCACACGCACCACGCCACACGTACCACGCCACACACACCACGTTACACACACCACGCTACACGCACCACGCTACACGCACCACGCTACACGCACCACGCTACACGCACCACGCTACACGCACCACGCTACACGCACCACGCTACACGCACCACGCTACACGCACCACGCTACACGCACCACGCTACACGCACCACGCTACACGCACCACGCTACACGCACCACGCTACACGCACCACGCTACACGCACCACGCTACACGCACCATGCTACTCGCACCACGCAACACGCACCACGCTACACGCACCACGCTACACGCACCACGCTACACGCACCACGCTACACGCACCACGCCACACGTACCACGCCACACACACCACGTTACACGCACCACGCTACACGCACCACGCTACACGCACCACGCTACACGCACCACGCTACACGCACCACGCTACTCGCACCACGCTACACGCACCACGCTACACGCACCACGCTACACGCACCACGCTACTCGCACCACGCAACACGCACCACGCTACACGTACCACGCCCCACACACCACGTTACACACACCACGCTACACGCACCACGCTACACGCACCACGCTACACGCACCACGCTACACGCACCACGCTACACGCACCACGCTACACGCACCACGCCACACGCACCACGCCACACGTACCACGCCCCACACACCACGTTACACACACCACGCTACACGCACCACGCTACACGCACCACGTTACACGCACCACGCTACACGCACCACGCTACTCGCACCACGCTACACGCACCACGCTACACGCACCACGCTACACGCACCACGCTACACGCACCACGCTACACGCACCACGCTACACGCACCACGCTACACGCACCACGCTACACGCACCACGCTACACGCACCACGCTACACGCACCACGCTACACGCACCACGCTACACGCACCACGCTACACGCACCACGCTACACGCACCACGCCACACGCACCACGCCACACGTACCACGCCCCACACACCACGTTACACACACCACGCTACACGCATCACGCTACACGCACCACGCTACACGCACCACGCTACACGCACCACGCTACACGCACCACGCTACACGCACCACGCTACACGCACCACGCTACTCGCACCACGCTACACGCACCACGCTACTCGCACCACGCTACACGCACCACGCTACACGCACCACGCTACACGCACCACGCTACACGCACCACGCTACACGCACCACGCTACACGCACCACGCTACACGCACCACGCCACACGCACCACGCCACACGTACCACGCCCCACACACCACGTTACACACACCACGCTACACGCACCACGCTACACGCACCACGCTACACGCACCACGCTACACGCACCACGCTACACGCACCACGCTACACGCACCACGCTACACGCACCACGCCACACGCACCACGCCACACGTACCACGCCCCACACACCACGTTACACACACCACGCTACACGCACCACGCTACACGCACCACGCTACACGCACCACGCTACACGCACCACGCTACACGCACCACGCTACACGCACCACGCCACACGCACCACGCTACACGCACCACGCTACACGCACCACGCTACACGCACCACGCTACACGCACCACGCTACACGCACCACGCTACACGCACCACGCTACACGCACCACGCTACACGCACCACGCTACACGCACCACGCTACACGCACCACGCCACACGCACCACGCCACACGTACCACGCCCCACACACCACGTTACACACACCACGCTACACGCACCACGCTACACGCACCACGCTACACGCACCACGCTACACGCACCACGCTACACGCACCACGCTACACGCACCACGCTACACGCACCACGCCACACGCACCACGCCACACGTACCACGCCCCACACACCACGTTACACACACCACGCTACACGCACCACGCTACACGCACCACGCCACACGCACCACGCTACACGCACCACGCTACACGCACCACGCTACACGCACCACGCTACACGCACCACGCTACACGCACCACGCTACACGCACCACGCTACACGCACCACGCTACACGCACCACGCTACACGCACCACGCTACACGCACCACGCTACACGCACGACGCTACACGCACGACGCTACACGCACCACGCTACACGCACCACGCTACACGCACCACGCCACACGCACCACGCCACACGTACCACGCCCCACACACCACGTTACACACACCACGCTACACGCACCACGCTACACGCACCACGCTACACGCACCACGCTACACGCACCACGCTACACGCACCACGCTACACGCACCACGCCACACGCACCACGCCACACGTACCACGCCCCACACACCACGTTACACACACCACGCTACACGCACCACGCTACACGCACCACGCTACACGCACCACGCTACACGCACCACGCTACACGCTCCACGCCACACGCACCACGCTACACGCACCACGCTACACGCACCACGCTACACGCACCACGCTACACGCACCACGCTACACGCACCACGCTACACGCACCACGCTACACGCACCACGCTACACGCACCACGCTACACGCACCACGCTACACGCACCACGCTACACGCACCACGCTACACGCACCACGCTACACGCACCACGCTACACGCACCACGCTACACGCACCACGCTACACGCACCACGCTACACGCACCACGCTACACGCACCACGCTACACGCACCACGCTACACGCACCACGCTACACGCACCACGCTACACGCACCACGCTACACGCACCACGCCACACGCACCACGCCACACGTACCACGCCCCACACACCACGTTACACACACCACGCTACACGCACCACGCTACACGCACCACGCTACACGCACCACGCTACACGCACCACGCTACACGCACCACGCTACACGCACCACGCTACACGCACCACGCTACACGCACCACGCCACACGCACCACGCCACACGCACCACGCTACACGCACCACGCTACACGCACCACGCCACACGTACCACGCTACACGCACCACGCTACACGCACCACGCTACACGCACCACGCTACACGCACCACGCTACACGCACCACGCTACACGCACCACGCTACACGCACCACGCTACACGCACCACGCTACACGCACCACGCTACACGCACCACGCTACACGCACCACGCTACACCATACAACACGCGAGAGCGCGCGCACTGCGCTGGTCGCCGCGCCGCCCGAGCGCACCGACCAGCTGCTTGACGAGGTACCGCGCACCACACGCCACGCGTCACACGTTCATCCATTCTATTATATGTGTACTTAGATAAATATCAGACATCCTACACACATATTTATACCTAGCATCTTGGAGTCTTCTTCCTGATATATACATAGTTTTCTTTTCATTTCTGATAGGGTAATATTTTTTAATTTGTCATATTGCAGGTATTAAATTTGGTAGAGGAACTTTGCAACGCGGAGCAAGATTTTTGCACGCAGTTCTTTCACCTTGACGTTGATGTTAAGGTACGTGACTCTTTGCTTTGTTAGATTTGATCGATTGTTTTTCGTGAAAAATAATAAAACAAAATTGTGAACAGGCTGAGAGTAGTGACGGCGACGGTGAGAAGAGCGAGAGCGGCGAACGTGGTGAAGTGCCGCGTAAATGTGGCGCGGAGACGCGGCGCTTCATGAGCGAGTTGTTTCCCACACTGGACAGCGAGCTGGTGGCGCTGGTAGCGCACATTGAGCGCAGCGATCCTTAGTGAGTTCCATATACAGCTTCCATAGCTTCGGTGTAAATAATCTTAAGTAAAAAAAAATGGATTGTGGTGACGGTATAGGAATATCTACTACCTTATAATGTTTTGTGGCGTCGTAAGACTCGACAGAGGGAAACTTTGAAATAGGGTGTTTCTAATAAGTACAAAGTAAGAAATGCGGTTGTTAAGCTGTGCCGAGCGTGACCACTATGACAAATACTAATGAAGCAATTTACGTTCACCGGTGGACATGGATAATTTGTAATGAAAGAATGAATGAACGATGTATGGCGAGTGCTCTAATGAACGGTACGTGCAGCGGCGCGATGCGCGCGCTGGCGTGCGCGGGGCGGCGCGTGCTGGGCGAGGGCGCGGGGGCGGCGGGCGAGGCGGGCGGCGGGGCGGGCGGCGCGGCGGGCAGCGGGGCGGGCGGCGCGGCGGGCGGCGGCGCGGGCGGCGGGGCGGGCGGCGGGGCGGGCGGCGGCGCGGGCGGCGGGGCGGGCGGCGGGGCGGGCGGCGAGGAGGCGCGCTGGTGGCGCGGCGCGCTGGCCGGCGTGGCGGTGGCGGCCAAGCGCGGCGCCGACCGCGCCGTGGCCGAGCGCCTGGCCGCACTGCCCGACGCCGTCAAACAGGCAAGCGATTGTATATATGCGCATTATACACCAAACACTTCTACGTGTACTACTAGACGACCTCTGCGGCTATAATACATTGAGCTCTAAGTTCTCTCAATCCTTAATTCCTCCGTAATTCCTTTAGTCAACTGCGTGCAGGCGAACCGCGAACGTTGCTTTATTTTATTGTATTTTATTTTATTTTAACTGTGTAGTGGTGGTGTAAGAATATCTACTACCCCATATTATCCCATGTGTGCATCTTAGCCAACAAAATCCGGATGTGGTTGAGCATTGACCACAAAACAGTTTTAACCCATTTGAAAAAAGCGCGATATTTGGGTACCACACGAGCTCACTGAAAGTTAATGAATCGTGTACTTTTCGATTCTTTATTGAAACATATATATTTCAAATCATTGATAGTTGCAGTTTCTTACAACTATCAATGATTTGAAATGTATGAAATGGCTTACTAAATTATTCGTTTTATCGGTCGACTTTACTAAACGATTAAATGAACCCTTCACACACTTCCAGGCTTAAGACTGGCTGGACAAACACTTATCTTTATTACCAGTCGTATTTAGATCATTTTTAAATGCATATTTTTTTATCCCAGTTCATTGTTCATGCAAATCGACTTTGAACTCCTTGTCAACAACCATAAACTTGCATGGATTTGATCGTCTTTGACTACTGTTAATACATTAGCGACTCTATTTGATCGACAAAAAGTTCACTTTTAGTAAGTAAGTAAGGACTGTTTTGTCTCTGTCTACGTTTATAAACGAACGCGGAACCACTATAATATAAGGCGAAACGTGACAACGACGCGACGAGTGAAATAGATAGTTGAATCATTGCGTTCACTCAATTGATTACCGTCTCCTTTGAAGTCGATAGAAAATACACTTTTAAAAAAGGTTCTCCGGTTCAATACACTCCATACGAAACACAACACACAACAGCATTGAGCTGCTATTTCACGCTGGTATTCTCTGTGAGAGTCCACAGTCCACCCACTCAATTTATGCCGCAATCATAATGTAATTTTAGTGGCTGTTCAGGCGTATCTGTACCAAGTTACCTTCGACGAAGAGATGAGAATTCGAATCTGGGTAAGGACCAAAAACCCAAGTTATACGATTTCGAATTCTCCTTTTCTTGTAAACACTGCAAACACAGTGTTCACAAATGTGTTAGTACTAATTTACAATAATCAATGATTTGAGTTCATTACACTCGCATGATTCTCAACAACAAGGTAATTTGTTAAAGACATGAAGATAGTTTGAAGGAAATATGTAAAATAAAATTGTAGATTTATTTTATATATAATTTATTAATTTCGTCTGTTATTGTGAGTAAGGTTTTGTTAAATAATTATTTCTGGTTTGTTCTTTTTCTTACATTTAATATTTTTTCACTAGATGGATGTCACTTGTAATATTTACATCGCGGTATGGTTTGCCTCATAGAGCATTATATAGCTTACAATTTTCAAAATACAGATAATCGTTACACGAAATACGTCAAGAAGTTTTATTTATTAATCACGGGATCACGGGATTACGGTGTTGGGAAAGTTCTGGGCATTTAACATTGGTTCTTCGATTTAAATAAAACTAATTTTACGGATTTTATCGCGTATATTAACTTATTTTATATTCCCGACGTTTCGGGTGCTTTCCAGCACCCGTGGTCACGGGGGACTGAGGTGTTTGACGTCCTGATGTCATAGTTAGCCCGGCTACCTTCAGTTTTTTAATATTAATTTTTGGTTCGATTTACGCAGAATGAGCTTACAGTATCTTGAAGTCTAGCAGTGGTATACTTGGGTTTGGATTTGATTTTATTAATTATGGGATCCCAAGCAGATGGCAGCACCCATCCTTCTTCTCTATTGAAATTAGGATGTTTTTTAATTTCAATAGCCTCGCGAATCATCCTTGGGAGGAATCGGTGTTCTTTTGCGAGGATTTGTGGTCTAAATCTAATGTAATGGCGGGGACGATCTTGAACATGTTCACAAACTGCAGACTTCCCGATACGTCGGTGCTTCACGTCCATCAGGACGTCAAACACCTCAGTCCCCCGTGACCACGGGTGCTGGAAAGCACCCGAAACTTCGGGAATATAAAATAAGTTAATATACGCGATAAAATTCGTAAAATTAGTTTTATTTAAATGTGTAGTGTTCGCGTAAATGTAAGAAATCATTATTGGTTCTTCGAGTTGGGATACTTAAAGCTGAGGTTACATCATTTTTGCGACTACGGGACACGACGTCGGGATGTCGTAGAGGGATACATCTTCCATTTACAAAATTGGAAGACAACGCTATTAGCGACGGAACACGAACATCCACGAGACAATCTTCGGAGTGTGAAAGGAATCCAACCGCGACGTCACACCACGAAGCAGGCGTAAGAAAAGGACAACAAAAAGTAGTATATGGTGCTGTTTTGAGTACATTGAAGAAAAAATTGTAAGTACCTCGCTCCGTATTACCATAGTGCAATTTTTGGATAAATTCGGACTTAGAAAAATTTCGTTTTAAATTGCTAGAATTTTATAAGTCCTTAGAATAGATTAAGAAATTTAGAACATACGGGGAACCTATGCCCAATTTTCAAAAAAGGTGAGAAAAATACAAACACTTAGAAAATTTTTGAAGCAAATAACATTCTAAAAATTGATTGAAAAAATAGAACCTATAGAATTTGATTTAAAACAAGGAATTCATAAAGCTTCAGACAGAAATTATAAATCAGTTGAATAAAGCTAAAATAAATTATAAGAAAAGTCCTAAAGAACGATTAACAGCTCGTAATATTGAAACCATAATAAAATTAGTGGAAATAAAAATGGACTGAATTTTTATGCAATCATTCTGCAATTATAAAAGCAACCAAGACGTATCAGCGTCAGACTACATTAAAAATGATCACTTTCAAGAAACAGAAATGTTTTATATTTATTTTATTGTGGACATGAAAGAAAAATTAGACCAACTTTTGGTACAACCTGGAATTCTATATGATAAGCCTATAATGTCATCTTCTAATGTAAAATTGCCTAAGATTTCTATTCCAACCTTTTCAGGACAATTTTTCAAATGAACGAGTTTCAGGGATTTATTTGTGTCACTCATTCATAAGAGTTCTATGGAAGATGTACAGAAGCTTCATTACTTGAAAGGATATTTGACAGGTGAAGCGCAAAAGTTATTGCGTCACATTCCTATTACAAATGAAAATTACGAACAGTGTTAAAAAACTTTACAAGATAGATATGACAATCAACAGTTTTTGGCAAATTGTATTTTTTTTTTAATAAATAATGTCCAAATATGTCGTAGACGACATCATTCACTTTTGCATCCCAAAAATGTAATCCCAATAAATGGCAATAATTATTCGGATGTATGTAGAGGGAAGGAATCGGTAAAAACAGAGCATCCCAATAGAACAGCCTTACAACCAGAAATCTTAGAGGAATCTCATCAAAATATAGCAAGTAATTTCTTAAAAGAGCCTATTCATCATGTTTTACTAGCTACAGCTTTAGTGAACGTAAAATATGGTAATGACTATCAAACAATGCGAGCATTGATAGATCAAGGCTCGCAGGCCAGCTTTATCACAGAGTCGGCGGTACAGTTACTCGGGTTAAAAAAGACTAAGACAAATGTTATGGTTTCAGGTTTAGGAGCAAAAAAGAGTTTGGTCTCCAAACCTACAGTAGATTTGACAATTAATTCAAGGTACGATACAAATTCATGTCTACATATGTTGTGACAGCATATGTTTTAGAGAAGTTGACATCGTACTTACCTTCTACTAACGTTGATCTCTTGCATTGGCCAGATCTGAAACAACTCAACTTGGCAGACCCAAATTTCCACAAACCTAATAAAATTGACATTTTAATAGGGGCAGAAGTTTATGCACTTATCATTATGGAAGGACTACTTAAATATCCCTTAGGATCTACAGTAGCTCAAAATACATATTTGGGGTGAATATTAAGTGGACAGTTGCATTCTAATACACCTTACTGTTATGTAGTGAGTTTACATAGTGAAGTTCATCTCGATAGTTTGATTCGCTCATTTTGGGAATTGGAAGCCGAACCAAATTTATCTAAGAAAATTTTAACGGAAGAGGAACAAAGTTGTGAACGATTGTATGAATCGAATACGATAAGGGATAATGATGGCAGATATATAGTTCGACTTCCGTTTCGAAATGAACGTCCATCATGTTTAGAAGGAAAATCAAAACAAATTCCGCTTCGTAGGTTTGCTTCCCTAGAATAAAGGTTACAGAGGAATTCTGACATGAATGTAGAGTTTAAGAAAATCTTTGACGAATATTTGCACTTAAATCACATGCAGCTGGTATCAAAAGAAGAATTAGATTTACCAGCTATTTACTTACCATATCATGCTGTTATAAAAGAAGATAGGGAGACAACTAAAGTGCGTATAGTTTTTGATGCCTCATGTAAGGGTGTAAATGGAAGATCTTTAAATGATGATTTGATGGTTGGCCCTAAACTTCAGTCTAATTTACGCCATATTATCATGAGGTGAAGAACTCATCCAGTTTGTTTTATTGCAGATGTTGTCAAAATGTACCGACAGGTTAAGGTAAATCAAAAGGATACTGATTTTCAACGGATTTTGTGGCTTGAGAATAGCGAACAAGAGTTAATAGAATACAGATTACTAAGATTGACATTTGGTACCTCTTAATCTCCAAATTTAGCAATCAAAAGTTTGATTCAGGTGGCTATTGATGAAGGACAAAATATACCTTTAGCAGCTGAAATAGTCAAAAGAGATTTTTATGTAGATGACTTAATGTCTGGATGTCAAAACGAGAAGGAAGCTACAAAATTATATTATCAGATTAATAAATTACTTAACAAAGGAGGATTTGAATTGCAGAAATGGTCAAGCAATAATGATAAATTTTTGAACACCATACGGAATGAGAAGAAGGAAAATA